GCGAGAGAAAGAGGGTACATCAACTGCCGCTGCTTTTGTCACCGACATGTCAAGCACATACGCGATTCGCCATGTGCGAGACGTATTCTGTTCCTGAGTAGGTTGCGGAGACTCAAGTTAACCTTGCCCAGTAGGTGATGACGGTAGCATAATTTGGGGATCTTATGCCATGGGTTTCGCTGCCGGATATAGAAGCAGGAGTGCCCCCGGCCGGCGGTGATGATGCAACTGGCGAGGAGGTGGGCGTAACAGTGGCCAGCCTACATAGTATGATGGGCAGACAGGGTCGTCGGGGGAGACAAGCAATGGACCATTTCACAAATCTAAGAAACCTCCGGATGGATTCGATCCAACCCTGTAGAGGGAGGCCGGACGACCCAGAGAGAAAGAAAAAGAGAGAGGTCTGGAAAACGCATGGAAGAAATCCAAGCACGTTCAGCCGAATGAGGGATACAAGCTGAAACGAGCCCTACCATGCGCTCGCTGGTTGGGAAGGGCATAGCAACTAAGCAGCAGCAGTTCAGAAGAAGGCCGCCCATGTTGCTCGGCCCCCTGCTTCACCGGGGAGAGAGAGGGAAGGGGAACCAGGGTGGCAGCTCTTGGCTCAACTCAAGGCAGTTGACTCTTGAGTGCGAATGTATGTGAGCCTGTGTGTGGGTGTGCGCGTGTGCGTGGGCTCGGAAGCTCAAAGTCCCTGGGTCACCCTTCCCCTGGCCTCCGTCCTTGACGGGGGGCTTGCTTTGGGTGGAAAACCACCAGCGAACAGCGTAACTTGGACAGCTCTGCCCATTCTGGAGAATACAGTGGAGTCTGTTGGGGGGCAAACAGCAGGTTTTGGGAGAGAAAATGGCTGGATGAGCACCGAGAAGTCATGCCTTGGCCCTGATGGGGGTATATCTGATGCAGGGAGGGTATACCAGAACCATGAAGAGAAATCGCCGCTCCGGTACGCGATAGGGCCAGAGAGACGGTAAGGTTGCAACAACCACTCGACCTAGTGGGCAGATTGCCGAGGGGTGAGAACAAGGGACTGCCGGGTGAGAAAGACGGAGGGCACCAGCTCAAGCTGGTTGTATCCATTCGCAACGTCAGTCAGAAAGAAAGAAAGAAAAAAAAGACCCTTTCTTTTTTAGTCCTGATCCCCTTTGCCGTCATCGGTGGCAGTGAGGGCCTGCTTCCACGTTCGAGGACCTGGTCAAAAGCTTCGGGATCGATTCGGAAGGGAACTGCAGTGGTCCCAGGAGGCAAATCATCCCGGCTGACCCAAGATGAAGACGTCCGCAGCAGGGGGATTTGCGTCCCAAACGCCAGAAAAGGCGTGTCAGTCGGCCTTCGCCTCGATGTCGATACGGTCAAATCTGGCAGGTCCCACAGGCAGATGCCAATGCTAGAGGAAGAAACAGAAAGGAATACGACTGCGAAGGGACATGGCCGAGATGAGAATGACGGCGGTGCCACGGTTGAGGTTCAGGTTCGGCAATGCGGCGGCTGTTGGACCAGGCGGGCGGCGCGCGCGTCGACTAGATGGGATGGTCGTAGGGTTGACTTGCACCGGACCAGACAAGACTGGTTAGCCTGTGGGGTAACAACTTTTTCCAATGAGGATATTTTTTTGGGGACTTGGGACGTGTGCGACTCAATGACCAGGTCGCACGATGGTGCCGTCGTCGAAACCATGGGATGATAGAGGTTCGCTCAAGGTGATTATTCGTCTGTTTGCATGGGCGGGCGGGCGCGCAAACGTGCACGCAGCCGCCAGCAGTTCGGGTTCCTCTCGTCTTCTCACGAACTTGAGGGCATCCCCATATTGCCAGACGCGTGCGCTCAAGACGCGCACATAGTCTCCCGCGGCCTCCCACTCGACCGTACCACCCCCCCTCTTTCACCTAACCGTGAGCCGGGAATGTGGTGGGTGTAAGCAAAAGGACGGTACATGGCGTAAGAAACCCCCCCCGGCTTTCGGCAGCAAGGAGATTGTGCGACTCAATGCACATCCCAGACTTTCGGTGCTTGATGGTAGGTCGGTCACCAAAAAAAAGGGCCTGGGGAGTGGCTCGACACTCGACAGGCTCGCTCTCTCGCCGCTGGGCAAAGGCGAAAGTCGCAAGTACCTTCCATGGCTCGTCAGGGAGGGTAGGGCCGAACCAGTAGGAAGGGCGCTTGGACGAGAAAACCTGGGACGAAGACTCGACGGGAGGGTGGCCAAGGAGGGCACTCGGACAGCAAGAAGGCGGATGGCCGACGCAGTTTGGTTTGGCGGTACGTTGGAGAATTGGCTCGAGATCCTCGTGTGGGCATGATGCGGCTGGCGCTCGCTCGTTGCTAGTGCTGGCGGCCAAGTTGACCTCATCGAGACATGACGGATCATGGGAGGGGGGGGATATGAAGCTGGAGCAGGGGGTCAGACGGGTATCGCATGAAGGAAACGCGTTTCACGCATACCTGGCAATTAAAAGATCAATTATGCGACCCAGGGATCCCGGGCAATCTTTCTAGAAGGAGTGGGACTCTATTCTAGCGTGTGATGAGGTGCTCACCTTATTTCTTCGTCGCTCAGCTAGGGGGAGGACTTTGGTCTTGGGGTCCCATTCTAGAATTTGAAATCGGTGACGGGGGGGGAATCCTTTGGGGCGGTTCCTGAAGAGACGGACGAAGTGCCGCGAATCAGATGGCTGGGCAGCGGTCAAGTCGGTCGACTCTGTGGGCACGGGGGATGTCGATCAGACGTAAAAAGAGGGCTTGGAAGGTGACGGAGTCGACGATGATGTGTGGTGATGAGGTGGAGATTGGAGGAAATGCAGGGCAGGCCGCAGATGAGATGCTGATGCGCAGTCATGGAGCAGATGACGGATGGGCAGATGAGACGATGAGAAGAGCCCAGGAGGCAGACGAGGCAGTGACGGAGACGGAGAAGGAGACAGAAAGAGAAGAGAGACTCAGACAGGGCCGAGACTATCGAATGACGGGAAAGGTAAGAAGGGGAGGTTCAGGATTCGGAAGGTAGGCGCCGGGGACGGGAGTTGAGTGCAAGACGATTGAAGGAGGAAGAGATTGCGAATCTTGGAAGCAGCGACATGGAAAATGCGATAAATGCAGGTCCGACTTGAAGCGCCCAACACGCCGCAATTTTGATGGTTATTTTTTCCTTTAACATTGAAAAAAAAGTGTGGTTGGTTGGGTCTCAGATTTGGGTCAAGTTCATCTCACTTGCAAGTCGCTTTGCTGGAAAACCAGGTGGAAAGATACATGGATTACCGATATACACTTTCCCCCAGGTGTGCCATCCTGATGCCGAGACTTTTGTCTCGGCTCTTTGTCTGTCCCAGGAAAGAGGAAGGTGCGATCTACAAAGTACAGAGTTATTGAGAAGATAATACCTTCCATGCTTCATTCACGGGCCATGGCAATTTCCATCATCACCTCACTTTGTAGAAACTAGAGATGAGACATGGCAGCCAGGCCAGACTGTCCACAAGCAAGGCTGGAACACACACAGTCCGCATTGAGGGCCAAGCCTCCAGGTTCGACGTGTGTCGGCAAGGCAAGGTACCTCGTGCACGGAGCAAGGTACAAGAATCCGTACCTTACAGACCCCAGGCAAGGTACCTTATCTGGTACTTTACAGGCTTCCTAGTTAGCCGCGATGGTTTGACAGATGGGGCCGGCGGGTGCGCGTCAATGAGGTTGAGTGTCGTTGTGGAAGAACGGACGCAAAAATCCTCGGCTCACGATCCACTCTTTCTCAGGTACCTACCTCCCATACCAATGAATATCCATACCTAAGGTACCTTAGTCTCCATTCTCGGAACTGGGTTACTGCAGTGTTGCGTTCTTGCCTCCGCCTGTCACGATTGTGCCCATCGTCGTGTAGTTCTTGCCGTGCCTGCCCAGCCTTGATGAGTAAGAGAGCGTCTGTCCACCTCTGGAAGTTATGTACTGTCGTCAGCCTGGCCCCTTCTCTCCTTCCGTCCTGACGTAAGGCGGGTGGTATCTAAGGTAAGGTAAAGGGCGCCCTGACATCGGGTTCCTCCCAGATTCCGTCGACCGGGACTGTAAGTGACGGCAAGAACGGCAAGAACTCGCTACCTTAGATGCTCGCTCCTACCTTGCTGTACCCTGCCCTGCATGTTTGCATCTGCGGAACGGAAGATGGAAGGAACGAACAAGACAGGAATATTTTGAATGTGTAGATACTTCGTACTCCGTATAGAAAACTTTGGAGGAAGTCAACGAAATGGAAGTGCCATGTCGATGGTTCCTTCCCGTTCAACACTAGGCCGAGAATGGGCAACCGGCCAAGAAACCCAAGGCAACTTACTACGTAAGTTAAGGTCGGCTGCCTTAGGTTGCCCTCATCTCACGTCTGGTCTGCGCCTCTGGATGACTGTAGCAGTGCAGAGAGATGGGATGGGATGGGATTCTCCATCTTCCATCACCAATGCCTGCCTTTGCGGCTTTGCCAGAGCACATGCATGATGCGACGGCCAACAGTCCGAAGCCCAGATGACCACGGCAATCTTCGTCATCGTTCTCGTCCCGCATCGGAATAGATTGCTATTGCCAATAGTCGACCCCCTCCCCGATGCTGGAGGATGGACCCCGGAATGCCCAAGCACGCCAACAACAACCTACGAATACGCAGGTACCTTGCCATACCTTACAAACACTTTCTGGCCAAAGGTAAAGCATCTTGCATCCGTCTCTACACTAGAGGGCGCGGCGCACCTATTCCACCGACCACACCGCACCACCCGACTGATCCTTTGCTGCATGCGAGCCCCTTACAGAATGCCTGGCTGACTTCTTGCATGCATCGCATGGCTTGCATCTCGGTAGCTCGGCTCAGAAAGGGAAGTGGTGGGTAGGGTTACGATTGCGACTGCCAGCGGTACATCGTCCTCGCCCACGTTCATGGGCTCATTGAACGTACCGATCCTTACCACGCCCTTTTTTCCGCTTCAGCTCTTCATCCACTTTCCGAACCGCGATCCCCCACGAACATGACGCCGCTTTGTGGCCTCGCCTTCGCGTCGCCCTTTTTACCGCATACTTTTCTGACTCTCTTACACGTGTCTGGGATTATCCTCTTCGCCCAGTCTTGGACGCTCGAACCCGCCGCAAAACCTTCTTTCACATTCTCGAGTCCGGACTGTCGGTATACACCAGATGATAGCCGGCGCTGTGCCTGTATGCAAGTTGTTGTTGCAAGCCAGGGCCAGCCGTGGCCGATTCTTGGACCTGCTGGAGGGGCCTCTCCCCGGACTCGAGCCGAAAAAGTCTGCTGCGCTTCAGAGAAGGGGCATCATACGATCAACCTCGTTCCTGTGGCAGCGGTGCCCCTGCATCGCCTAGGGAGCCTCCAAGGGCCCTGTATCGCCTCAGCCCAAAGCTTGATGAACCTTCGTCCGCTTGGCGGTTTGGGTATCCGGTCGGCGGAAGCCGTCTTTTTCTAGTAAGGATATGGAGTACGGAGTACGGACGGTATTACTAATTACCTTGTCTTTGCGTTGCACGGCGCACGTAGGGACATTCTCTTCTGTCTACCTACACTATCCGTAGTCCGAGGTGGCTAGCTACTATACTACACCCCGCACACTGCAACCACCACACTTACAAACTTCCGCAACATGACTTTGTGCTACACCAAAGAGCCGCTTCTTCGTCTTTGTCCAAAGTCTCGCAACGAATCTAAAGCTATCAACCCGTACCCTGGAGCCGAGACTAGCAATCGCTTCCGTCCACCGGGTCCCCCCACTTGTCTCGAGGCCTTACTGCCGCTTGGCTTTTGGGGATTTTTGGAGAAGCCCGTTGAGTCGCGGGTGTTTGCAGGCAACCGGGTAGGGATCCCCGAGGTTGTCACAACTCACACTAAACTTGGTGGGTTTCTGTGCTAAACAGCAGGTCAACCTTGAATGGGCTCCAGGGTTCTCTGTCTCAATTCTCACGAGCCTTCGCTGCTCTTAGTACCCAGTTTCTTGTTCAAGGGACCCGGTCAGCGTTTTCCTTTCGGGGACCCTTCACGAAACCAGCCCTGTCCAAATTACAACACCTGTCCTCCAGCTGAAGGTTAAAGCTGCAAACGTGTCGCGGGTTTGCGCCGGCCTGCCGATTCCGAGCGTCTCCTGAGATCCGCGACAGTCCCTCCACAAGACGTTTGATTTACCTTACGCCACCTCGCGCATTTCGGCTCGACTGACCAGAAACACAAGATCGTGTCCAAGCCTCGCATCAGCTGAGAAAGACGAGCACGATGTCGATACGACAGCGAGCCAGCCAAGGAAATTACCGGCTTCAGCTGACCTCCTGGATAACTGCCGAGAGGAACTTTTTTCACAGCAATCACGAAGCAGAGTCCAGTAACAAAGCAAGAGCCAGAGCCATCTCCGGGCTGCTTCATCTCCACTCACCAAGCCCAATAGTTCGTCCCTACCTTCTTGGAGAGCTCGCCCGATGCAGTGCAGCCTCCAAGTGAGTCGACGGGGGTTGACCCAGAAGTTATTTCGATGTCTTCATGCGCCGCCCTGTGGCTCATTCCACATCTGCTCGCGTGCGGCGTCGACCCTCTCAGATCGCCAATTAAGGCCCCCAAAACAGCCACATCTCCACGACCAAAAATATCCGCTCCTTGCCACACTTTGCTTTTCTCGAACCCTTGTTCGTCCAACGAGGATGCCAGGACGAGCCACCATTCCCGACGGCCTGGGCCAAGAGACGCCCAGTACGGAATGAATCGCCATTGTCAGCCGCACCTAAAGCCCATCCCGACTCCATCTCCAAGGATGCCGCAGGGCGATGACGTTTCGTTCCGTGCTCGCAATCTTAGGACACAGACAAAAACGCCCGAGAGGGACGGAAACGCGTTCGCTCTCCATGGCAATATCTCAACCACGCTGTCGACATATTGGCCATGAACCCCTCCTTATCATCTCTCTACTAACATGCCCCAGTTGCAATATCTACAGGGCAACTAGCCGCTCCAAATCGATCCAAGTAGGAGCGTTTCCGTCGCATCGGTGCTGAACATCTAGCTGCCCGTCCAGGGCAACAAGCAGGGGGTGCGTTTTCCCTCTCTCCTTCTCCCTTCCCGTTCTTAATTCTTGCCCTGGCGCATTAATGCATGAAATCTCCAATTTGCGCGGACCATCTACCCCGCTGAATCAGCGATTAGAATGCCCACCATCTTCAACGGCCTTCCCGCCGCCTTACCATTTGCAGCCCACGTCGTCCGAAGAACAAGCATCGACGTCGCGCGAAAAAGCCAACGGTTGGAGCCGTAAGCGGAATACGGCATAGTAAAGGCCACCACCACTTCAAAGCAGGCGGCAGGAAGTGGACGACATTGCCTCCACAGCTCCTCCAAGGTGACAGCTTTGTCGTCACAATTTGCAGCTCAACTCCCTTCTTGGACCCTGGGCCCGCGTTCACAAGCAGCCATGGTGTGCCTGCGTACCTGTTTTCTGAGATGATCCTTTTCCTTCTCGGCATCCTCCGCCTGTACCTGCATGCAGTCCGCATGCGCGCAATGGGGGATTTGGGGAGAGAAGGGGGGCTGACACGCAGGGCCCCCTGCCGGCCTTGCTGCATCTCCTAGATGAGTTTACTGCATGGAAGCCTTGGAAGAAGTCCACGGAAATTTCTATTCATGGTAACCACAGCACTTCGTACACTGTCGCCGCTGAAACTATTCCCATCTTGGAGACGCGCATGAACGGCTTGTTATGGGAGGCGCAGCCGCTCTACGTATGTAGTGTACGTACGTTTTGTTCTTATGTGCGACTGATAATCCTCACGTTTATCAAATATGGCCATGGTTTACAGAGTAAGGAACGATAACAGCGGCGAGGGAGCTTTTCTGCTCAATCGACGAGCTCCCACATCTGGCGGTTTGGTAAGGTAGTATGCTCATCCTGTGCAATTCCTTGACCATGTTCGTGAGAAATTGACTTTTTCTTACCAAACGATCTAGATGGAGATGGAAGCAAGGATAGAAGAAGTTACTGTCAGGCAGTTGGCACCACGTTTCTCTTCACTCTCTCACACAGTTTTGATGTTCGCTTGCGATTTCTGTGACACCCGCCGCCGCCGCCGAGCCCACTCAACATGTCAAATGCAAAGTGACACTTGGTTGACAAGTCATGGATTGCATGATGACAGAAGAGGAAAAAAAAATCTCCCCTGATCTTTTTTTTCTCTCGACTCTTTGAAAAATAATACTCGGACAAAAAAAGTACAGTTTGGTTTCAAAATAAAAAGAGCCTGGGCTGTCAAAACCTATCAAACGCCGCTTATTTGCCTTTAATCGCACACATGTTCGTTCCTCCCCCCTTCCCCCCTGCCCGCGATTTCATCCTTCCCTCCCACCGCTCGCTCACCCTTCCCCTGGCGTGATGCTCGCGTTTCCCGAAACTGCCCTTCTCCCTGCTCGTCTCTCTTCTCTTCTCTCGTTCTTGAGAATCCACCATCGTAAAACATTCTGCCCGGGAATCGTGGTGCCCCCGACCTTAACGTTCCTTCTCGCCATCCAGGAAAAGACATGTCCCGGATACAATGCATTAAGTTTCCCATTGATCAGCCACCCCTCCCCATCTCTAGCCTATTTTTGTGTGTTTCTTTTGAGCGTGTGTGTATGTATACGCGTGCGTGTAATGTCCGTTTTGGGTAGATGAAGGGCTCTCTCTCGGTAAGGCAAAACTCCTCAGCCTCAGCCTCGAAATGCCCATCTTCCCTTGAAACGCACAACAGCGGCCGCGTGGACGAAATCTTGTTCTCCACCACCACCACCGCCGCCTTAAGCACTTCCTTAAGCGAAGTTGTCAGTCCTGTCGACCCAGATATCCTCGAGCTCCGCAAAGCTGTGGAAGTGCACGGGACGGTGCTGGTCGCTGTAGAACGGCAGCGGCGTATCGAGCTTGACGTGCACGGGCTTCTTCTCCATGCCCGCAAAGGCCGAGCCCATGAAGCTGTAGTTCCACATGCCGTTCTCGGGCACGAGGAAGAAGCCGCGGAAGCGCGGGCTCAGCAGGAGCTTGCGCTTCTCGCCCATGGTCGTCGTGAAGCCTTGGGGCTGGTCGCTCTGCGTGTCCCTGTTCTCGGCACCCCACTTGTAGCCTGTGGGGGTGAGGCCCCAGGCCGAGAGGGAGACGGAGCCGGGGGTGAAGGCCACGTTTACGGTGACGGTGTCGTGCTTGTCCCAAGCCGAGCTGTGGGCGTCGAGGAGGCGAGCGTGTTCGGTGACGTCGGCGGCGGACATGTAGGGGAGTTCTGCACCCGAAGCGGTGTGGATTACGCCGAGGGGTTCCATACCCTCGAGGAATTCGTGCTGGGGCAGCTGTTGGGGGAGCTGGACGTTGCGCAGGCCACCGATCTGAGGGATCATGACGATGCACTTGATTTCCTTGACCTGGTCGTTGTCCGGGGCGGAGGATCCGTAGAGATAGCCGGCGACCTGGACGCGGAGGTCGGCGATAGTGATGAAGCGCTTGAGGATGTTGTTAGGCATCACGTATGTGATCTCCTCGAGATCGTTGTCGACAGATGAGACGTAGATGTTGTTTGCCTTTGTGCGCAGGTTGGACGTGGCGATGGCGCGAGTGCGCCACTCCGTCTTGGACGCGAATGTCTGCTGCTCGAATTGAGACGTTGTTGTGACGATGATTTCCTCGCCGTGGACGTTTTGTGTCTTTGTCGTCACAGCCGTCAGCTGCTGCTGCTCCTGCTGTTGCTTCTCGATCTCGGCGGCCTGCTGGCGTTGCATGGAGGGCGCGGAGATCTCCATACCCAGAATGATGTCACGGACTTCGCTGCTAGTAAGACTCGAGACGTTGACGTTGTTCTTCTTTCCATAGTCGTTCAGGATAAGATCGCGCAGCTGCGTCTCGACCTTGATCCAGTCCTCGTCGGAGAGCGTCGGCCAGATGTGGTGGTCCTGTGTGATGACCGTCTTGTCCGGACGCAGGATGAGCTTGGTCTTGTCCGGGTTGACGTGGAGGGCACGCAGAATCAGTATCAGACGGGAGAAGGCGGTGTATGACGAGATGCTCTTCAGCCACTCGTCGTAGAGGTTGAAGAGTACCATCTGCGGCTCGGTAGCGCGAAGAATCATATCTCCCAGCTTCTCGACCTTCATGGCTGCCTGGAACGGAAGTTGCAGCTCGGAGGCTCTAATGGCAATATTGGGGAAGTCGAGCAAATGGACTTCCAAGGGATCCAACAGACCCTTGCGGGTGACGATGAGCTGCTTCGGCTGCTCTTCCACGGGGAGAGAGCGGATGAGCGCCGCTACTTCTTCGGCTGTCTTCCACTTTGCCAACTGTCCAAGACGCTTCTGACCAGCCCAAACGCTCGTGTGAATAATCTTCAGGAACAGCTGACCGGTTCTGGGGTTGAAGATGAAGATGGCACCGTTGATGGGCTTGGTGGTCAAGTTACCCTCAAAGGTCTTGTGAATCGTTAC